TCTCAGCGAGAAGGTTGCTGGATCAAATCCTGGCCGGAGGCCTTTCTGGGTGGAGTTTGCATTCTCTCCGTGCATGCGTGGGTTTCTCCAGGTACTCCAGTTTCCTCCCACAGACCAAAAACGGGCATGTTAGGCTGATTGGTAACTCTGAATTGTCTCTAGGTGTGTGAGAGAGAGAGTGAATGGTTGTTTGTCTCGTTTGTCTCTATGTGTCTCTGTCCAGGGTGTCCCCCTCCTCTTGCACAATGACTGCTGGACATGGGTAGCAGTGACCCCCACAACCCAAAAAGGAAGAAGCAGGTAAACATAATGGATGGATGGATTTGTAGGTCTTCACGAGTCCAAACAGTGAATTCCATAATAAAATCAAACCTGTTTGCAGGAGATTCAAACGTTTCAGGAATAGGAGGGTGTTTAAAGAAGTAGGGAGCTGATCATCCACTGGGCTTATCCCAATGCCGAGCCCAGTTTCCCATTGGTGGAAAACTGTGATTCCAACTGTGATCTGTAAAAAAGGTGATCAACCAAGGGGGTTCTGGTATCTCTCCCCCAGAAAATTTTGAAATGTAGAACATCAGAAATACATTTTCCTGACATTTGGAACAAAGCTAGGAGAAGAGTTCAAAGTCAGCAGTTTCTGAGATTTGTGAGAATTTTTGGCATTTTGGAAGGACTGGGTGCTTTTTCATTAAATCAGATAATGTTCATTTAGCAAAGACAAGGAACAATCTCCCAAGTCAGTAAACCTGAAGTAAGTAATCTTGTAAAACTGATTTGAATAAAAACATTCAATGGAGATTTAAATGGATTGTTTTGGCATTTTGTTCGGTTGGTAGAATCCACTCAACTGAGAGATGTACCAGATGTTCAAAGAACTACTAAATAAACCACAGAAAAAAACACTAGAAAATAAACCTATATTCAACACAAAACTCAACTGTGGTGCTTTTCTTAGTATGATACTACATTATTTTAGCACAAGATGAGGCCAAGCCCAAAAATGTCTGTATGCTGTTACCATGACGGCCCTGCATCGATCTGTCAACATGACACTTTAAAGTTATGTAAATGTGCAAAAACTAAATTTCAAATATATGTTAAAATCCACTGAGCAGCTGTGCCATGAAGGCCTTGAAAGTGGGCAGGGTAGGAGCAGTGAAGTAAAACTGACTGAGGGGGAAATGAACTGGTGACACAAAATGACCTAAATGATCACTTGTGAAAACAGAAACCAAACTACAAAAAAACAAAAATGAACCATCCATGATCCACGAGAGATCCACGAGGGATCCACGAGGGATCCACGACTAGTTGTAACAATAGACTTTATTTGAGAAATATTTATTTTAGATGTAAAAACAATACAGTAAAAATATTGTAGGCTGTTTAGTTTTTATAAATTTAAATAAAATATTGTCACACAGATGTTGCCATGTTGTTTACACTGCAATGCATTCTGGGTAAATGATGTATACTAGGTCCTGTAGTGCTAGCTCCATCCAGCCAAAACAGCAATGAGTAACGTTACTCCTTTTCAATTTGAACCGGAGCACATTGAAATTGATGTCAGTGTAGAACTCACCAGGGGTAATGAAGAGGAGGAGGACCAAACGGATGAAGAGGAAAGAGTTGGCCGAAGACGTTGTTGTTTTGCGGCCTGTATACATAAATGTGGTCCATTGTTATTGGATAAAATACATCTTCTGACCACTGTACTGCTGCATCTGATGTGCTGACAACAATTTGTGTTTCAGCATTTGTAGTTGAAGACAACTGTAATAAAGATTGTTGTATTATTAATATACATACAACATTGCGGGCAGCACAGTGGTGCAACCAGTAGAGCTGCTGCCTCTCAGCAAGCAGGTCCTTGGTTCAAATCCTGGTCCAGGGGCCTTTCTGGGTGGAGTTTGCATGTTCTCTCCGTGCATTCGTGGGTGTTCTCTGGATACTCCAGTTTCCTCCCACAGACCAAAAACATGCATGTTAGGCTGATTGGTAACTCTAAATTGTCTCTAGGTGTGAGAGAGAGTGAATGGTTGTTTGTCTCGTTTGTCTCCATGTGTCCCTGTGATGGACTTGCAACCCGTTCAGGGTGTCCCCCGCCCCTTGCACATTGATTACTGGACATGGGCACCGGCGACCCCCTGACCCAAAATGGAAGAAGCGGGTAAACAATAATGGATAGATACAACATTGCTATCGTAAAATTGTGAAATAATATTAACAATAATAATAAATTAAACATAAAGCTGAAGTTGGCTTCTGATTGTGGTTTCCTATTCAGGAAATGGCTAAAGGGTGATTCCACATAATTTTTCACTACCATGAGCGTCTTTAATCTGTTCTAGTTTAAAGACTAAAATATTTAACCTGGAATAGATTATTATACACTCAACATCCATCCATCGATACATCCATCCATTTTCTTCCTGTAAGGATGTTAGTTTTCTGTGGCCCGGTGTGTCTGTTTCCCTCGTGCTCCTCATTAGTTCCATTGTTGCCACCTGTGTCTCGTCCCAGCTGTTTGTTATCATGTCTCGTTTTCTCCTTGTATTTAAGTCACCCTATTCTGTCTTGTCCTTTGTCGGGTCGTCTTCGTTGGGTGTGCTTCCTTGAGTCTCCTGAGTCTCTCCTTTTTACTGGTTCCTCGAGTTCCTCGTGTCTCCTGAGTTCCCCGTGCCTCCCTCCTTGTTTATGTAAGTTTTGCTGCCCCGTCAGCATATTTATTTTGTACTTTTTATTTATCATTAAAAACCTATTTTTGTATATCTGCCGAGTTGAGTCCCTGTTCTGCACTCTGGGTTCGCTCCGACCACAAATCCTAACACTTCCGCTTATCCGGGGTCGGGTAGCGGGGGTAGCAGCCTAAGTAGGGAGGCCCGGACTTCCCTCTCCCCAGCCACTTGGGCCAGTTCCTCCGGGGGTATCCCGAGGCGTTCCCAGGCCAGCCGAGAAACATAGTCCCTCCAGCATGTCCTGGGTCTTCCTCTGGGTCTCCTCCCAGTGGGACGTGCCCCGAACACCTCACCAGGGAGGCGTCCAGGAGGCATCCTAAACAGATGTCCGAGCCACCTCAACATAATAAAACTTGAGTAGAACTCGAGTACTTGATGATGTCATAGGATCTAAAGATACAAAAATAAACAAATAAATAAAACCGCAAAAAAGGTCATTATTTACAAAAAAGACCAACAAAACATTGGGAGCATATATTGTGCTCCTACCATTTATCATACAGCAAATCAAGTCACAGGAAAAACAAAACTATTAGTTATTATTATTAAACTGCAAAATTGAAAGAGACAGGCGGGATGTCAAAAACGAAACTAAAAACAACAGGGCGGTCGACCACCCCACTCCACCGCCAGCTGTGGTGCACATTAGGTTTAGTTTTAGAGATTAATATGTTTATAGGTTTTTTATAGGCTTAGAGATGAATATTTTTTGCTTTTAATTTGTGAAACAAGGTCAGAGAAAGCTGGTTCTGGTTCGGTCATTGGACCCGGTGTTACACCATATTCTATGACCTGCAACAGTGCATGCAACACCACCCCCTACGGTCACAATATACGGTGGTCACAGAATATTGTGTAACACTGGTTCACAACGAGCTCAAACAGTCAGGAAGTTGATTTATTTTCTGTTTCCTTACGGTAGTTGAACCTGAAGATTCATCTTTAGTGAAATATTTCCAGACTATTGATGCATTTCTACCTGTTTGCCAAGACTGGGCCTGCTCCACTCCATCCATCTGCTTGGAGGAATCTATTTTGTAACCCGCGCCCGGTGTGGATCACGTGACACGTGATGCAATGGCGTAACGGCAACGTAATGACGTCAACACGAATACTCGACGTGAAATTAAAAAACTCGATAGATGTCCTAGGAATCGACGTGTAGATTACTCGAGTAGTCTGTTAAAGCCCTAGAAAGGACAACCTGTCAGTTCCTTCAAAGTCTTCTGGAGAGAAGTGCTGAGAGCACAAATGTGGGTCCTTCATAAGTTTCATTCTTTTGACGGCTTTTTCTCTTTTCTTTTTTTTTCATGTGGGAAGTGGTGCACACTCACCTCACTATGTATGCCTTTTACTGTTTTGAAATTACAGCCAACAGTGACGCAGTGTGTCATTATCTAAATTTATAATTGCAATATCATAAAAACAACTTGGGTAATGTTAGCCTTCCTGTATTTACTCTGTCGATTCCAGCACAGAACGGGCCTAACTGTGTCATTAACCCAGCATGCATTGTGCAGGTGAAAAAATGGCGGCCTCCATGGGTGAAAAATATAACAAAAGATTTAACATTTTTGAAGTAATTATGAGTTTTTACATATCACAAACAGCAACTTTTAAGTTAATAGGAAAAATACAACATATTTAGGCCAACATGTTCAACTAATCATGATTCCCTTTAAAACTGAACAGACACATATCATGACACTAACCAGTTGCCAATTAACCTAATTAGCTGCAAAATCCTCCTCCAGCTGTTTATTTGCACCACTTACTTTTGCTGCCTTTTATTGCCCTAGTCATGTTTTTTTTTTTTAGAATTTTTGCTGTCATAAAAACAAACAAATAAAACCTCCTTATTTTATTACTTTTTTATAGCTTATTAATAATAATATTGGATTCTGTTTTTAATTTACATTTTATTCAATGGCCCAGTGTTTTTGGAACTGGGTTGTACATAGGTCAGAAATATACTTTTGTTTAAGCTGTAAAACACTATCTGTAAAAATTCTGCATCTAATTTCTGCACCAAATGTAGCAAGAATGCAGCTTTATTATTATAAAACACATTGTTTACATGTGCATGGGAACGTCTGTGGCTTTAATAAAAAATGCATTTCAGTTCTTCATATTGGTGGTATGAGTAGGAGACAGAAATGATGCCCAACAGAGAGTCCTCCATCAGTCAGGTGGTGCTGGGCGATGAGTCTGTTCCTGTATCAGTTTCATCATTTCTTCTACCTCTGCTTGTTTTGTGTTCAGGGTGAATGTCTGCGGAGGGCAGTGCTGTCATGGATGGAGCGCAACTCCAGGATCGCAGCGATGCACAAAACGTAAGTCTACACTGAGTCCTGCTCAGCTCAACAGCATCTCTGTATAAACACACTTTTCCAGTATCTTGTAAACACTTGTTCCCCAGCATAGCATCCAGTTGATTTTATTGTCAGTATCTAACTTAAAGACTTGCTGCTCCTCTCTTAAACACAGTGCACCACCTCTGTTAGTTTAATGTGAGTTCTTGTGTCAAAACAAGATGTTCTTGTAAAGTAACTCAACTTCTAGATAAGTCTTAGGCCCAGTTTACATTTTATAAGTGAAACTGGAACAATTCTGATACATTTCAGCCGTTCGTCTACAAGACAACAGCAGTCAGATTTTTTTACATCAAAACATTATAAATCCAGGTGTCAAAGTGGACGGTTTTCAAATCCCTGGCATTTGTTCACAGAAACAGCAATTTATCTGAAATCGGAAGTGTTTGCTATGCGCACCACAGTTGCAGTCAGTGGTTCTGCACATGTTTGAGAAGATCAACAGGAACAAAGGCAAAGTGCTGTTTGTGCTACTCACTCTTTTAAATTTATTAGAGCTGCTTGACATGAAATGTAAATGCAGAAAATCCTATTTTCACCTGTGAAAACCAGTTTAATTAAAGACCTATCCTATTCCTTAAAGGAATGCATATCGCCATCTCCATTCATGCCAGAGTTTTAGACTAAGACCATCTTATAAAAGGTGTAGTTGTAACTGTTTGGGTCAAACCTTGTGAAGCACATTCTCATGCGATGTACGACGTCAGTCTCAAAGTTTGTATGACTCTTAGCATGTCAAATTTCAGCTCTAAATCTGTAAAACGGACAGAAATATTGGAATTTGTGTGTTTTCTAAGACCAGTTGGCTGTGGATTTATATTCAATACCGTTGCTGTAATAAGGCAACTGTTGTTTTAGGTACCTCCAGTGATTATTTCCTGAAAGTTTCAGTAACATTCTTCATTCTTCTAGTGGTTCATGAGGTATTTTCCTACTAGACAGACACGTTTGACTCAAAACTGTTAAAGGCAAATTTTTCTAAGTATTTTTTGTGCATTCTGTTAGCACTTAGGATATGTGTTGAAGACCAGTCTCAACTATCACCATGCCCCCCCCCCCCCCCACACACACACACAGGTTTGTTTTGCTATCTTTATGGGAACTTTGCATTGACTTCCATTCATTTTTCATTCATTTCTATAGCCTAACCCTGACCTTTACCCTAAATCTAACCCTTACCAGTACATACCTAACCCTAAACCTAACACATCCTCAATTCACACCTTAGTCCAAAACCTAACCCCTAACCCACCAACAGCACTTCTTCTTATGGGGCCTGGGCTTTGGGCCCCATGAGGAGCAGTTGGTCCACACAAATGTAGTATAAGTTAGAAAAATGGGCCTTACAAAGTAACATGAACAAAGACACACACACACGCATACACCCACACACACACACACAGGCAAGAACATTATCGCGCTCCATTCACCCTCTGGCTGTGAGTGATAATTTTCAAGTAAAACACATTTTTATCATGTCCCCTTTGTGATTTTGGAATATTTTCTACATGTTCATGCAACCACATGTGAAAAACACCCAAAAGTTATGAGTTTTTTTCTTTAAGGGAAGAGATGGTGCCCCCAGGTGAAGGATAAGATGACATTTTCCTGGAGTTTGTGTTTTTGTATAGTAAATAAACCCTCACACGTTTAATGACTTTTTAATAATTTTCAATACAGAAAAGAGATTCTCTGCTGCTTCTATCAGTCGCTATGTTTTATACAACTACAGCGCATCTGGGATTGAATTAAACAATTTAGACAATAAAAATTGGCGCTGACTTAGCTTCTCTTTTCCGTACCGTTGATCTGATGTATCAGAACCATTTCACACAAAGCTTAAATGGGAGAGAGCTCACATATTTAAATACTGGAAATAAATAAATCTATCACACCTAATTCTTTTAAAACATATGAACCAGCATCAGCAGAAACAACCTATTTTCACATAATGTTCCTATTGACAGTAAATCAGTGCACAAGAAACAACACACACTTAATCTTTGTGACATTTCTCCACCTCCACTCTCATTTACACATGAAAATACAGAGGTCGTTCTTTGCACTGAATGATGTTTGGACTGAGACTCTGCGTCCTCTTGTTGGTCTTACTGTGGAAGATGAATGTATCTCTGAGGTGTTTTTAAACAGAAAGCATTACTCAGCCTTTGGCTTAGTTGTGTCATACGCTCTATCAGGATTTTCTTTTTGCTTTAGTCATTTTTCTGCAGACAAACCAACACTAACTTAGTGTCTAAGCTCACACAGTTGTACATTTCCACATCTAATTTAGGTAATCTCAGGAGCTTAACAGCATTTAATAACTTATGTAATGGGGGAATGCAAATCCCTGCATGGATGTACCCCGCCCCTCGCACAGTGATTGCTGGACATGGGCACCAGCGACCCCCGTGACCCAAAATGTAATAAACGGGTAAAGATAATGGATGGATGGATGGATGGAAACAATTATGAAATATATCACTGATTATATACCAGATACATATGCCCTATACCAGGTGAGATATATTGATTTTATACCAAGTGTTCTAAGACTTTTTAGTGCCACATCTGCCATCTCCTTATTTTTCTTTCAGCTGCTCCCTTTTCAGAGTTTGCCACATCGAGTCATCCTCTTCCATCTCACTCTGTTCCCCATCCTCACTCCAACTACCTCCATGTCCTCTCTAACTGCATCCATATATCTCCTTGTTGTCTTTTTCCTGGCAGCTGCATTTCTAACATCCTTCTACCAGTATACCCACTGTCCTTCCTCTGGACATGTCCAAACCACTGTCCCTCCTCTGGACATGTCCAAACCATATCAGTCTGGCCTCTCTAACTTCATCTCCCAGTTGTTCAACCTGTGCTGTACCTCTGATGATTTCATTCCTAATCTTATCCATCCTTGTCACTCCTAAAGAGAACCTCAACATCTTCATTTCTGCCACTTCCAGTTCTGTCTCCTGTCTTTTTGTCCATGTGTCTGTCTCCAGACCATACAACAAAGCTGGTCTCACCACTGTCTTGTAAACTTTTCCTTTGACATTTGCTGACACCCTTTTGGCACAAAACACTCATGAAACTTTTCTCCATCCACTCCATCCTACCTGGACTCTCTTTTTCACCTCTTTACCACAATTCCCACTTTCCTGGATAGTGAACCCCAAGTACCGGTACCTGAAGTCCTGCACCTTTGTGATCACTGCTCCTTGTAGCCTCGCTGTTCCACCAGCCTCCCTCTCATTCACAGACATGTACTCTGTCTTACTACGGCTGACTTTCATTCCCCTTCTTTCAAGTGCATACCTCCACCTCTCCAAGTTCTGTTCCCTGTTCTCATCACAGCTCACAATGTCATCTGCAAACATCATAGTCCACGGGGATTCCTGCCTGACCTCATCGGTTAGTCGGTCCATCACCAGAGCAAACAAGAAGGGGCTCAGAGCAGATCCTTGTTGCACTCCCACCTCCACCTTGAAGTTATCTGTCACTCCTACAGCACATCTCACCACTGTCCTGCTGTCCTCATACATGTCTTGTACCAGTCCAACATACTTTTTGCTACTCCACAGCAAAAGAACAATTCCACCAAACCACCTCTTGACTCGACAACAATAAAAACAAAAGGAGTCAAGTTTAACTGTAAGAATATTAACAATAACCTCAAATTGTACAAATGTTTTAGTTTATTTACTAAAATGTTGTCAGTTAAAAAAAAAAAGTGTACTAAATTTTGTCTCTCAGTGCCTCCTTTACAGAGTCAATCAAATAACTGTGCCTAGTAAAAACTTGGTGGACAATTAAAAAAAAAAACATCAGCCTCTGGTCAACAAATTAACTGAATTTTAAACTATAACAATAAATTGAAAGAAAACTAACAAATCTATGAGAGCTCAATATTATGACTATTAAAAGCTGCAATGGATCTGTTTCACTGTATAACCTTTACAAAAACAACAGTTCCAAAATGAAAAACTATTTCACGTATTTGGCAAAAAATATTCTGTGCTGTCTGCTTTCATTTCATCATATTATTAGTGTTTTTAACAGTATTCTTCAAAAATGTTTTCCGATTGTAATAATCATCAAGTTTTCTTTATAAAATCTCAACTGGGTTATTAACATAGCTGGAGAGTAGTTTCAATGTTAATAATTTATAAACTTCATACTGTCAGCTAGGATTTTTCAGACACAAACATAATTGCTCTTCACTCTATAGTCCCAACAGCAAAATGTTTCTCCTCATATTTCTTCTTTTTGGATTTTGGCAAATGATCAGAGTTACCTTCACCCTCTCAGTCTTTTGTTGGATACTTACACGCTGCCGTTGAGCACTGAGTATTAGAGTTATTCCACCATTTGAAGTGCTGTGTTAGCCATCACATGTCCAGAGGAGGGATTCAATTCATCCATCCATCCATCCATTATCTTTACCCGTTTATTGCATTTTGGGTCACGGGGGTCGCCGGTGCCCATGTCCAGCAATCACTGTGCGAGGGGCGGGGTACACCCTGGACGGGTCGCAAGTCCATCACAGGGACACATAGAGACAAATGAGACAAACAACCATTCACTCTCTCACTCACACCTAGGGACAATTTTAGAGTTACCAATCAGCCTAACATGCATGTTTTTGGTCTGTGGGAGGAAACCGGAGTACCCGGAGAAAACTCACGCATGCACGGAGAGAACATGCAAACTCCACCCAGAAAGGCCCCTGGACCGGGATTTGAACTAAGGACCTGCTCGCTGAGAGGCAGCAGCTCTACCAGTTGCACCACCGTGCTGCCGGATTCAATTCAATTAAATTCAATTCAGTTTATTTATATAGCACCAAACCACAACAAAGTTGTCTCAGGGTACTTTACAGGAACATTCACATAAAAGCCAATTCGTAAAGTTCTCTATCTAAGGAATCCAGCAGACAAGTTGAATCTTGGCTTCGTTACAGTCTCCCA